CATTAGGTGGCCAAAGTATTGGAGTTTCAGCTTCAACATCAGTCATTCCAAAGAATATTCAGGACTGATCTCCTTTAGGATGGACTGGTTGGATCTCCTTGCAGTCCAAGGGACTCTCAACAGTCTTCAACACCATAGTTCAAAAGCATCAATTCTTCAGCACTCAGCTTTCTTTATATCCAACTCTCACATCCATATATGACAACTGGAAAAACAAACCACAGCTTTGACTAGATGGACCTTTGTTGGCAAAGTAATGTCTCTGCTTTTTAATATGCTGTCTAGGTTGGTCATAGCTTTTCTTCCAAGGGCAAGCATCTTTTAAGTTCATGGCTGCAGTCATCATCTGCAGTGATTTTGGAGTCCTCATTAATAAAGTCTCTCACTGCTTCCGCTGTTTCCCCATCTATTTGCCATGAAGTGATGGGGCTGGATTCCATGATCTTAGTTTTCTGAATGTTGAGTTTTAAGCCAACTTTTTCACTCTCCTTTTTCACTTTCATCAAGAGGCTCTTTAGTTCTTCTTCGCTTTCTGCCATAAGGGTGGTATCATCTGCATATCTGAGGTTAATGATATTTCTCCTGGCAATCTTGATTCTAGCTTGTGCTTCATCCAGCTTGGAATTTCTCACGATGTACTCTGCATATAAGTTAAATAGACAGGGTGACAATATACAGCCTTGACTTATTCCTTTTCCTATTTGGAACCAGTCTGCTGTTCCATATACAGTTCTAACTGTTGCTTCTTGACCTGCATACAGATTCATAGAGATAGAAAAATTAAAAGATTGATATAAATTTACCATAACCTCATTCTCTCTTTGTTGCTTTATGATTTAATCCTATTGAAGAGAATACAGATGTATAATCTAGTGTCAGAATGTATTCTCAGAAGGAAGCAGTTTTTAAAAGATTTTATTTCTAAATTACTCAAAGACTTCATACATTGCCTCTAACCCCCCCCCCCCCCCAGTTAATGGCACTTTTAAAAAATTAAATTAAAAAAAAAGCAAATTCCCAATATAGAATGTGAACCAGGACTTTAAAAATGTACTTATGGCTTATTTTTGTTATGTATGACAGAAAACCACAAAATTCTGTAAAGCAAATATCCTTCAGTTAAAAAAATGAAGTGGAAAAAAAACTATTCTGAAATCCTATAACAGCCTTGGGTGCTGGTGCTGACTTATAGTTGATGTTTGACTAAATCTGCGACAACTGTATTTAAATGTAACTTTTAATTGGTTGTGTAAGGCTTTATTTGGAGCAAAGAAAATGCTTTTTTCCTTTTACTTTTTTCTGATTGCTTTTTGTTCTAGTTCTGAGCCATGTTCTAGTTCTCAGCCATCTTTTTCTGAGCTCCTCCTCCATCATGTCTATGTGTGAACCAAGTCAACATCTATGACAGGATTCATTGTTGGATTCCTTACCACTGCCATTTGTACACATTTCTCATCATTTCCCCCAAAATGCCTCTTCAAAAGTGACCAAAAGAGGTCATCTGTCATTTAAAAGGACTCTCACACCAGGAGAAAAGACCCCGACCTACAAGACTTATTCTACCCTCTTGGGAGTACTTACATCTTAACTGAACCAGAAAGAGATTATTTAAATCACTTTATTTGTGGCAAGTCATACAAGGAGTGGGTGAATTGCTGTTAGGTTGATTTTCCATCACATTTTTGGCAGGGGAAACTTGGTTTCCTCCTGTATTAAGGAAGGAAGCTTGTGGAACTCCCATCATTTCATGTGGTGTTGGGCAGACAGAAGCTGTCAGAGTTTGAAAGCAGCTGCCCGTACAGACGTGCTGGAGACCTTCACTTGGGCTCCAGGGCACCATTCTCTCAGAACTCTGCCTCCTTTACTGGCCACTCCTACAAGTCTCATCTGTTGGTTCCTCTTCATGGGCCCAATCTCTATGCATCAGAGCACCTGAGATTTCAGTCTTGGGTCTCTTCTCTATGTATCTGCATAACATTCCCTCTCTGATTTCATCCTCTCCTGGCTTTAAACACCACCTGAAAGTAGATGTTCCCAGACTTTTTTTTTTTTTTTTTTTTGGCTGCACAGCTCCTGGCATATAGGATCTTAGTTTCCCAACCAGGGATTGAACCCACGGCCCCCGCAGTGGAAGCACAGAGTCTAAACCACTGGACCACCAGAAAAGTCCCAAGAGCAACCAAAATTTATCCTTAGTCTGGACCACTTTCTAAACTCCAGACACCTCCCCTTGGATGTCTAATAAACATCTAAAACTAGACGTGTCCAAAACAGAACTCTTGATATTTTCCTTCCTAAATGTGCTTTACCTACAATGTTAGCTGTCTTAAGTGACAAATTCACAGTTTCAGTTGTTCAAGCAAAAGCTTTGAGTCATCTTGAATCTTCTCAATCACAATTCAACATTCAGTCTGTCAGCAAATCCTTTATGCCTCTACCTCTAATATCTACTCATCATCTGATCACTTCTTACCACCTCCACCACTGCCTTAAGTGCAAGCCACGTCATTTCTTTCCTAGATTATCAGAATAGTTGCTTGACACTCTCTGATTTTCTTCCTTACCTTCTATAGTATTTTCTCCACAAAAGAAACCATCTCCTTAAAATGTGAATCAGATCATGCTACCTCTCTGTTCATAACCCTTGAAACATCCCATCTCATTCATGAAAAATAAATTCCAACATCCTTACCATGGTACCATGGGCTAGAAAGCTTTATGTGACTCATCCCTTGCTACTATTCCTTTTTTAAGAAAAATTAATTTTTTTTACAATAGGTACTTGATAGTATATATCAAGTATATTTTAAATGTATCAGTGTGTGCATGTCAATCCCAAACTCCCAACCTATCCCTTGCTACTATCCTTATTCTGCTAGTCCTCTCCTCACACACCAGCTTCTAGTCAGGGTTAACGTATCTGCTAGGCAGTAGGCACAGTGCTGAAGGCCCACAATGCATTTCGGGCAAAAACTGTTCATTTCTTTTAAAAACAGAAGAAAAAAATTTAGGTTAAAGACAGTATTTTATATATAATATTAATATATTTGTCTTCATACCAACAGAGTCATAGAGTATAATTTTTAGGTGTTTTGTTTTATGAAAGAAGGAACCCACAGAGGCAAAAGTGCCTAGCAACCATGAAAACCCTAACGTGACCTTGGGGGAAGTCTATGCTGAACCCAGGCTGAGCTAGGGAAAGCCTTACTGTTTCATAAAGTGGGAAAGCTAAGGAATTTTTTCCTCCTTTTTGGTTTTGCACCTCCCATTGGAGTCCACATGTCATTGTTCAGTGATTGTTTTTCTTCCTTGTGCTAAGCACTTTCCCAAATGAGTTCAAAACTCCACACAAACAATGAAGACCTGTTCTCAACTAAATGGATTCCTACCTTTAGGTCTTGAAACAGGGCCATGTACACCTTCCTTCAGTACTTTCACTCACACTCTGGGCACAGTGAAAAGAACAAAAAAAAAAAAAAAGCAAAGGAAATGAACCTAAAGAAACCAAAGAGTGGAGATGATCAGACTTGGAGCTCAGCCTATTGATTACCTATTTAGCTATTAAAAGAAAGTATTTCTTACTATTATCTGTGTCCAAATTTCTTTAATTAAGAAAACAGACCTTATATATTTGACCTCAACATTTAAATGACTGCTTTTTGTCTTTCCTTTCATAAAGGTTTTTCATCCTTTTGTATCTCAATGAAGATGGAAGCTTTACCTTTAATTTTTTCCTCCAATAATTATAGCTTTTAAATATGAATAAGTTATAGGTTATTGCTACTACAACTGGAAATTACCTATAAATCTAGCCAGACCAATACTTTTACAGCGATCAGAGAAATGGCTAAAACACCTTCTCTGGCATTAACTAAGAAGAAAAATTTTGGTAGAGAGTTCTAAGAGCATTCATAAATTGGTTTTGTGAAAGTCAGTTTTATTTGTAATATGCACACATGAAAATTTACCCATGGTGCACTGTTTCAAAGCAATCCTAACTTCACCTTTAATTCCCTTTTTATTTTCTATAAAAATAAGCTCTTTCTAGAATGCATTTTACTACAGGTCTACTTACTTGCTTTTCCATCCATTGCGATGTTTTGAAATGGATTACAAAATATTTGAAATCTATATGGGGAAAGAATCTTTTAAAAAATGGGCATATGTATATACATATCACTTACTCACTTTGTTGTATGGCAGAAACTGACACAACATTGTCAATCAATGCTGTTTGTTGTTGTTTAGTTGCTGTTGTGTCCTATTCTTTCGCCACCCCATGAGCTGCAGTCCGCCAGGCTCCTCTGTCCATGGGATTCTGCAGACGAGAATACTGGAGTGGGTTGCTATTTCCTCCTCCAGGGGATCTCCCTGACCCAGGATCTAACTGGAGTCTTCTGTGTTTGCAGGTGGATTCTTTACCATCTGAGCCACTAGGGAAGCCCCCAAATCAATTATACTCTAACAAAAATTAAAAAGAAAAAAAGATACTTGGATACGTAGCACTGAAAGCTATAGAAAACAGAATATCCATTCCTGGAGTGTGCTCCAATCCGGATGCACACGAACGAGACAATCAGACGCTCAAAGTTCTTTTCACGCCCTTAATTCAATGCAGCAATTGATAAAGTAACAGTACTATTTCGTAGCACCTTTCCCTGTGTCCTGTTTCTGACCAAGTTTCCTCCTAACTAATACCAGTTCAAAGTGGTGAAACTTCAGACAAGCAGTTTCTCAACTTAACTGCACAATAGAATCTTCTGAGGCGCTTTAGAAAAAAGCTGATGATCTGGCCCTGCCCTAGAGACTGATTCAGTGTATTTTGAGTATAGATGCACAGCTTGGTTATTCGGTTACCATGTCATCAAAGCAGATTAAAAAGGAGGGGAAAAGTTTTTTCCTCTGCTTGGCTGTCTTGATGGCTAACAAATTAATTTTTACCCCAGAAAGAAAACTGGTACCAATTTTTTTTCTTTCTTTTTTTTTTTTCTTATTTTTAGTAAATAAAGCATGTTAACTCTCAAGAGGTGATTGGCCCCTTCTGGCCACACAGTGGGTAAGAACCTGTCTACCAATGCTGGGGACACAGGTTCGAGTCCTGGTCTGGGAAGATGCCATGTGCCATGGAGCAACTAAGCTTGTGCCCCACAACTTGGTGCCACAACTACCAAGCCTGAGCCCAACTGAGCTGCAACTACCAAGCCCAGGAGCTGCCTCTATTGAAGCCCGCATGCGCTAGAGCCTGAGGTCCGCAACAAGAAAAGCCACCACGGTGAGAAGCCCACATACCACAATGAAGCATAGCCACTGCTCGCCACAACTAGAGAAAGCCTGCATAGTAACAAAGACCAAGCACAGCCAAAATAAATAAATAAATGAAATTTTAAAAAAAAGAGAGAGGCGGTTGGCCCTTTAAACACTATGGTAATGCACAGAAAGACAGTTGGGCAGGTCTGCATGGCCTTCATATAAATGTCAACACCTACTTTAGGTCCCAAAATAAATATTTTTAATATTGTCTCATTCTGCACTGTTTAAACATGCACTATATCAGCTTGTCTGCATTTCCCAATGTAATAGCACGAAAGTTTCCAGCAGTTCATTCAGTTTTTTTTACTAGACGTTAATTCTTCATTCTATGTATTTCCCCTCTGAAAAATTATGTCCATAAACATTTACAAGCAATATTGTTGAGCACAGTATTCTTGAGGGGTGAAGACCCACATCTCTGTTAAAGAAAACACTTCAGTTTTAACACAAATATTAGCTGAACCTGAGCCGGTGTCCCTGGTTTCTTCCTAGTCCCCAACAATACAGGTTGCTGCCATTTCCCAGGAATTCTCGGAATCAATAATAGATGTGATTGTCCTGTTCATCTTGGTTCTCAGAAAGTAAATGGGGCAGAGGAAGGAAGGTGGAGCTCTCTTTTGCCTCCAGCATATTCTTCTAGTCCTGCTCATGGGAAGGATGAAAGCAGTCCCACAAGAAACTTTTACCCCATGCCCTTTTAGGAGCCAAGGCTGGGAGCCCAGTAGGCCAGCATCACCAACCCCTATCTGTGCCACCTCTGGGCAAAGCCTTAGTTCTTGGGTCTCAACAGGTTGCGATAGCATAGGAAGCCTTCTTACCCTAATAAGATGGCTTTTAATAAATGGTTTAGGTTGGATGGAGAGGAGAGAGGGGAAAAAAAATGGAGTTAAAAAAAAAAAGAAAAACCTCTGCAAAATTTTTTCTTATGAATCTGGATTTAAAAAATTCTACCACAGCATTTTTCTCCTTTTGGCTCTCTCTTCTCCCAAATGGTATAAAGTAAGCAACAACACCCTCCTTTGTAGTCTGTCTCTTCTGTGTGCAGCCCTTGGTTTGTGAGAGGAAGTTTTAACCCTCTGTGAGGTGAATGCCAGGAACCGTTCTAGGATGATTTACCAGAAGTCAGTCAGGAAGCTGACATGCGGTGCCTGTTTGTAAAGGAAGAAGTACAGAGCCAGGCCATTTCTGTCCCTGTGAGAACCCACACTGACCTTTGATATAGACCCAGGTAGTGCTATTACTCCAATATCACACTTTCAAATGAGCACCTGAGCCTCACATCTGACCACTCCCACAGCCCTCATGGCACCATAAACTGTCCACACTGGTCTAATATAGAACCACCAACTCTTAAAAATGCTAAAGGAGCTCCCCCAAGGCCCCCTCTCCTTTGGGTTTCCTTGGGAGCACAGATAAGCTCAGTTGTTTTCTTATGGTCAGCCAGGGACACAGGCTTAGAACCAAGGATCTTCTTTGGTCATCTCAGTGCTAATTCATTCCCCAAACTACTCCTTTTTCTGGGAAATAGACATTTTAAAGTGTAAGCTACTAGAAGACAGAGACTGTGTTTTAACCTGAGTAGTAAAATGCCTAACTCAAAGCAATGGAAAATACCAACCTGGGAGGCAAGAGCCCTGGAATCTTGGATTTACTGTGATTCTTGCCCTACCAAATTATTTGGTAAAATGAGGGCATTGGTTTATATGAAATCAAAGGTCTTTTGAGCTTATGGTTGTACACTGAAGAAATATTCATCAATGGATGTGGACTGCCAAACACCATTCACAAGCCTTTCCATCATGGCGCCAGCTGCCTCCCCACTTTTCCTTGCCCCTGCCCAGTCACCCTTCCCTGGTTGGACAGACCCCACCCAGCCCAGAAACTACAACTCGTCCTATTTCCATTGCTTCTTTTCGAGGCTATGTGACTTAATCACTACTGTGTGTTTGGGTTATGTTTTCTCACGCTAGAGTGATCAAAACACTTGTCATCTTCTACGTTTACATTTGGAAATCACAGAAAGGGTGGACAGATCTAGAGAAAGGGGTGTTCTTCTTGAGGGAAGGGATAAAATGGGACTGTTGTATTTCCCCATCCGTGTTTTTGGAGCCCTTGAGAGAGCAGCATGCTTGTTATTCAGAAGGTTACGATATTCAGAGAGAAAAAAATATCGTCAGGGTACAGTAGCTGCACTGGTTTTTGCTCCAAAGGCAGGAAATAGCTTGGCCAACCTGAAAATAAAATATGCTTCTCCTAAGCGGCTAAGCTTGTTAGACGCCCAGCCTGGTGGCAGGAATAGCGTTGCATACATAATGTGGACGCGCCAATGCTTGTTCTTTTTCCAGAGATTAAAAAAAAAGAAGTCTTTCTCCTATTTTTTAATTTGACAAAAAGATTCCAAACTACAGAAAAAGATTTTGCGTCTATGTTTCAACCATCTTTGTTCCTCAGATTTATTGTTGTTTTTTTTTTGTTTTTCCCAGCAGACATTACCCAACACACCCTCAAGGGAAGGAAAACTCTCAGTCCGTCAACTTTCTGATGCCTCAAGAACCTACTTTTTCCAGAGAAGAGTCTAAATGGGTCACTTCCCTCTTCTGGCCTCGCTACAAATGTTACCCACACTTGCCCCCCGATCCTATTTTCAGAATTGAATGACCAGCTCCATTCTGTGAGGCCCTGACTACATCCCGCTAAGGTCACGGTTGGTACTTAAAAGCAGTGGTCTTTTTTTATTTCCCCCAAAGGCTAGTTTTTATCCCTCCCTCCACCCTTCCTCTTCCTTCACCCTCCTTCAATAGAGCTGTGTTGTGAAGGGTCTGGCCACACACAGAGAATATTACAGGAATAAAACCTGGGAAAGAGCACACGGTTATGAAATATTAAACTTAAACTTCTCTTTATTTTGCCCCTCCAATTCTCCTCCCCCTCCAAGAAAACACGAACCCCGACAGATTTGCGGTCCGTGTTATCTTCAGCTGGAAAAGCCAGCTGAACCAACAGAGCAGACTTCTCTGTTTCCTGCTGCCTAGAGCTTTCCAAAGGCGCTACTGTGAAGGAGCAGCTCCCTCTTTGGCCCTATGGACAGCTTTCCGAGAGGGAAGAGATTACACTAGCATCGGCCAGATAAGAACTCTGTAGCTGGAGAGCTGGATGCAAACGAAATCTATGGGCATCAGGGTTATTTCACCCCAGTGAAAGAGACGACAGGCAAGGACAGGAAATAAGAATGCTAGTGCCAAAATTCAGCACTCTGCTTTGTCAGTAGATTAAAAAAAAAATAAAATAAAGCAGATGAAGAACAGAGAAAGTTCAAGGATCCCTCCATTTCTTCAGTCAGCTCCAACCTAAGAACTTCAGTGGGAGTTTGGCCTGAGGGAAAATTGCCATATCAGACATTGATTAGGCTAAAGTCAACCCATTTCAAAGCATCACCCATTAATTTATTGACTGCAAACAGGAATTTTGCCCAAGGCCAGAACTCACAATCAATCCGTTGCCCTGAGATAGATTTCCACAAGTGGCTGGGGAAAGGGAGTCTGTCTTCAGGATGTCTCTCCGTGGCCCACTCTTTCTTTCTTTATTCCCTCTCCTGCTCTATTGCGTTGATAACAGGGCATTCAAAGGACTTCATTAGTCCGATGATGTGCAAACAGCTGCTCATAGGATTTGTGACTGGATTGATCCTGATGCTGCCAGTACAGACAGCACAGGGCAGAAATAACTATGTTTTGTTCCCTTGACATCGTTCCCTTTCCTTTCTTTCACGTCTCATGTATTCATTAAACGTTCATTTAATAAAAGACAATATTCTTACACAGCATTATGATGAAAGTCTTGGTTTATGCATGCTTTCATATAAATTCAAAACGTTTTCTTTCAGACATACGTATTTAACGTGCAAGCTGCAAAAGGGAGAAAGAATATTTAATTAGTATTTTGGGGGGTGGTGATGCCAGGTGTAGCATTCTTAACCAATAGTTAATCATTGAAACTGGAAAACTAATAGTTATTTTATGTAGCTGGGAAATGGACTAATGTTTTGCTAAGATTAAAGAGTAAGTCTTCCCTTCCCTCCAATTTTGAGGCAGTTTTTTTTTCATTTATTTTTATTAGTTGGAGGCTAATTACTTTACAATATTGTAGTGGTTTTTGTCATACATTGACATGAATTAGCCATGGATTTACATGTATTCCCCATCCTGATCCCCCCTCCCACCTCCCTCTCCACCCGATCCCTGAAGGTAATACCGACTACATTGAGGCAGTTTTTAAGACCCTCTGATGGACGTAACTGAACTCAAGCTGCCGTTATAAGACCTGGAGACCCAGAGGCTAGAAACCAAGTTATTTCTACCTTAGAAAAATGAACAATCAGATTGGTGAGCAAGGAAGCTTGTATAAGCTTGTATAGTCTTTGCAGCATTTATTTACAGAAGCTAAAAACAATTTGAAAGCCACATAAATGCAAATCATAGAGGAGTGACCAAATAAGCTATGACTTATCACACAAACACCTACACAGAACACTACAAAGCAGTTAAAAGGAATGGGGTAGAACTCATGTACTAAAAAGGACCCATCTCGAAGACATGGCAATAAAAACAAAAGCCATATGGAGCACTTATACACTGTTGGTCAGACTATAAATTGGTCCAACCACTGTGGGGAACAGTATGGAGGTTCCTAAAAAAGTTAAAAGTAGATCTACCATTAAATTCAGCAATTCCACTTCTGGGTATACCCCTCAAAAAAATGAAAACAGGATTTTGACAAGATGTGTGTACTCCCATGTTTATCACAGCACTGTTCATAATAGCTAAGATATAAAAACAACCCAAAAGCCCATCATCAGATGAATGGATAGAAAAGATATGGGATACATACACATTAACACAATGTATTAATAGTATTCGGCCATGAGAAAGCAGGATATCCTTTCATCTGTGACAACATGAATGGCCCTTGAGCACATTATGCTAAGCTAAATAAGAGAAAGACAAGTAGTGTGCAATATCACTTATATGTGGAATCTAGAAAAGTTAACCTTTTAAAAAAAACACAGTAAAATGATAGATTCTAGGGGATGATGACAAGAGGATTAGAGTGACGGAGTTTAGAGGTACAACTTTAACAAGTAGTAGATAAATCATAGAGATCTAATGCAGAGTAAAATAAATACAGTCAATAACATAACAGCTACAATTATGTAATGTGATAAATAGCACTACATGGCAATCATAGTCAACATATAAATGTATCAAAGTAATATGCTGCATACCTTATACAATGTTACATGTTAAATTAATTCAATAATAAAGACATTTATTAAAACAACCCATTCTACTTATAGTAAAAACACACTTATAAAATAATATTTCAGAGTTTCTATGTAGAAGAAGGTCTGCAAAGGAAAATGGGTAAACTGATGAAAGATCCCCTTGGGAGAGACTGGGGCAGAACTGCGACTAAGGTTGTGAAAGGAGGGTGTAGCCTTCTATATGATATTTTCATTTTTTGTACAAAGAAACTGTATCTATTATTTATATAGCTCAGATTTAAGTCCTTTTAAACAATCACACTATTATGAGGTTAAAACATTTATTTATTGGGATGCTCTATTTAGCTAACCATTAATATTGCCCTGAAAACCAGCTAGTCTTCTTCCTGAGGCTTATTTACTCCTGAGGTTCTCTTCTCGCAAAGCAATGGAAGAGGGAGAGTAAACAAAGCAGAATTTGAACTAAATCTCAACACGGAATAACACGCCAATTATCTGTCTTCTCCACCCTTTCCTGGACCTGAGCCCACTCCTTCTCAGTGGCCACCCATCTACCCTGAGAGAAACAGGGCCCTTTGCTGTGACCCACTTTGTTCTAAGGTGAGGAGACTGGTTTGCTCAAGTTAGAATCCATTACTCTCAGTGATTAATCCTGTTCTCTACAAGCTCACTTTTAGCCCTCCCTTGGGAGTGAGGGGGGGGGGGCAGAGGGTGGCCTTCTCTGTCTAGCTCTGCAAACCCCTCCTACCAATTTCACCAGAGAGAAAGCTATTGCTTTTTCAGAGCTGTCTATTTCTGTTCTCTGGGGTTGGTCTCTGTAACTGTATTAGCATTCCAGTTCTACACAAGTCAGTTTCTTCAGCTTCTCTCCTATCATTGACTCTCCATCTTTTTCTCTACCTCTCTGTATTTCTGTCCTCTTCCAGTCTCATTTCCTCTCTCAACTGTTCTCGTTTTCTGAAAAGATGTTCTACAGAGGAAATTTGGGGGATGATAAATTGCAGTAATAATACTAATTCTTAAAAAAAAAAAAAACCAGAAGGTAGATTCAGTTTTAATGAAGCACTCTTCTTTTACCTTGCTTTTATGTTGCTCCCTTTATCTCTTCATCAAGGAAACTGTATTCCATCAAGCCTCAGGGTATGATAAATAACTTACAAGGATGCTCCATTGTACATTATTCTCTTGACAGGGTGACTCACCACACTGATAGGTATTATCTACATTCTTTAAATGGTTTCCTGCAGGTGTAAACCCATGTACACCCAGAAACACAAAGCCATATGTGAGGATAAAATGTCTAGAGGTGACTTGTTTTGCCCGTCCTTATTTCCTTGCAAAAGGTTGCTTAGAAAATGCAACTACATTCAAAAAGGAATAATTAACTGAGAAACAGATGCCAGTGGTCTCCCTGGATCTGGAGCCTTCCTGAATGGCCCATTTCTCTGGGTGTCCAGCCCTTCATGGGCTTAAAGAAGAAAGGGCAACATGCTGGCTGGGAGTGACATGAATGCATGTCTCCCAGCCATGCTTAAAGAAACCTTTTTGCAAAAATGCTTTTCCAAAAAAGTGGGAGTCCCATAAAGTGACACTTTTCCCTTTGAACTTGAGTCTTTTGGCATTTTCATTTACACCTGCTTAAACAGACATAGAACCAGGGTTTATCAGTCCAACACTTGCTGGAGACTGCTAAACCATGAAAGGAAGCTCTGGTAAAATTATGACTTTTTATACCTGACAGGCGGTGACCTGTAGAAAGCTCTGAGTTCTGGCAGAAACACAAAATCAATTGAGTTTCATCTAAATCATTCTTTGGCTTTCAAGACCCTTTGATAAATCTCAGATGGAAATTCTTCAGTCCCACAGAAGCTCAGGAGGGCAACCGTACACTTTGATTCTTGACTTTATCATGTAATTGAGGTGGCATTTTTATTGATCAGTTGCTCACTGGATCAGTGGGTTTATCAATCTGCATTTCTAGTCAAATAACTTGATAGGACTTCATTTAAAAACAATTTTACTGTCTGCAACTGGGCTCCCCATGGGCAGTGACCATAAGTTACTGAAGTCAGCATTTTACTACAAAGCCTGCACACAAGCAGGACAGAGATCCAATCAAGTTGGGGAAATTGGGAACCTTAACATCTACTTCCTGCACCAATTGGCGTCTTTGCTTGGGGGAAGAAGGAGTAAATTAATCCACTCTCCACACTCCAGCAAGAGATCTTTCTAAAATACACATCTTTCTAAAGATATTTCTAAAATACAAATCCTATCACATCTATATCACACCTATATCCTGCATAAAACCCACTCTTGGTATAAAAAACAAAAGACTCATCCTAGCCTACCATATCTTCCCAGCTCTACCTACCTTTCTAGGCTCATCTGTTGCCCCTCACAGAGAAAGAAAGCTCTGCCAGCTGAACTCTACAGCTGAAGGAAGTCACCAGCCTCACTCTTACCTCTCGGCCTTTAAACATGACAGTCCTTCTGCTTGGATTACCCCCCTCTACTCTTCACCTGCTTAATCCTTATTTTCCCTTCAGGATACTTTGTCACTTCCTCCAGACTCTTTGGGACTTTATGGTGTTTAACACACAATTTTGAAATTTCCTTCTGTCTTTGACATAGGATTGTAAATTCTTTGAAAATGAGGATGGTGTCTTAAACACCAGTGTTTAGCTCTGTTGCAGTATATTTCATAATACTTACACATTTCTGCCCCACCAGAATACACATGTTGTATGATGTCTGTTTTCGCAATCAGGGAAACTTCTGTGAGACTTTATCTGGCTCATTCATAGCATGTAGCAGGTTTGGGACACACAGGAGGCATCTGATCAATATTTGCCTAATTAATTGTGTCTTCAAAACCTAGCACAGAGTCTGATTGGTACACAGAATTCATTGATTCTAAGATGGCATCATCGACTCAATAGACATGAGTTTGGGTAAACTCCAGGAGTTGGTGATGGACAGGGAGGCCTGGCGTGCTCTGGTCCACAGAGTCGCAAAGAGTTGGACGCGACTGAATGACTGAACTGAACTGAAGTCACCCCTGGTGGTGAGATGCATTATTAGGAAATGGGAAAAAAGCCTCTGAAAAATGATGACATAATGCTTATTGAAATGATGACACTATGCTTTCCTAATACTTAGACATTTTTCTATTTAGTACAAGAGAATTATTTAGTCATAGATATTTATCATATCTCTCCTACATGTGTGAAAAGCAAAATATAAGCAAAATAGATTGGTTCAGTTTTCTAAACTTCTTCATCTCCAGAGCCTGACTCTGCCAAATTACCTTTAAAATTCAGTGGTCAGTGTCCGTGACTTTTTCCACCGTACCATCTGTGTCATCCCGAGTCTTGGCATGGCACCGTTCCTTTAAAAAGCTCACCATTTTGCAAGTTTAGGGACTAGTGCCTCATTGATCTCAGCATGTGTTAGATTTCAAATGACCACAGTTCATGCACCTTCCTCGAATGGCCCTTGAAACGTCAACTGACAGGCTTA